ACTGTTTACTAAGGTGTACAGGTGTTAATAGAACATAATTGTTTACTGAGGTTTACAGGTGTTGATGGAAGATAGTTGTTTACTAAGGTGTACAGATGTTAATAGAAGATACTGTTTACTAAGGTGTACAGGTGTTATAGAAGATAATTGTTTACTAAGGTGTACAGGTGTTGATAGAACATAATTGTTTACTGAGGTTTACAGGTGGTAGACAACTGTTCATTACCTAAGTGTATAGTTTTTGGATGAATGTTTCAAACCTAGAAATACCGTATTAACTCATTAAATAAAACAGTAACCAGTATCCTTTCCCCAAACAAAAATGTTTTAGAATAAAAATATAAATAAAATGATTAAATCAATCCTTTGAAATATTTATTAGGCAGGTGTAAAAGACATTAAGAACATAGTTATAATAATACAACAAGAAAACTGTTAGCTGTCCTTTCTTATCTATAAGAGTTTTTCATTATGGAATGTGTTTTATGGGTGTGTTATTCTTTGAGAGTTAATGGGTAAAGCCCACAAAAATAGGAGATCTGACAAATACTATACTGGAGTAAAATAAGCTTAAAGTTATTTACTCGATTCACTTGCTATGCTGAAACCGAACTTGAAGAAAACGTAAATTACGAAAACATTTACATTTTAACTAAGGTTGTTTCCGACATATGCTACTGTTCTGTACCATATATGTACAATGCGACTTGTCTGTAAGATTGGTTTATTAATGGTCATTTTATATGTGGAAAACACAGATATTGCTTTGAAAATAATTATTATCAATCATCGCATGGCTTATGAGATGAAATTTAAAAGTGGATTTGATTTTATCTTTTAGGTTTGCTATTTAATAAGAAAATAATTTGTTTCTCACAATAGGGCTCATACAAAAGATTCAGACATTCAGTGCAGCCTCTGTTCAGGTTCAGCAAACGTGGCTGTGCACCACGGTGGATCATTACGGCTGTAGCTATGGGGACCGAGGCTGGGGATGTGGGTATCGCAACCTGCAGATGCTTCTTTCTAACCTCATGCACCACAACTGGCTACAACTTTCGTTTATTCAAAGGTTAGTTATAAGTCAGTTCAGTGTGTGGTAATGTAGCACTAGATAGTAATAATCTAATAAACGAAAGTTGTAGCCAGTTCAAAGGTTAGTTATAAGTCAGTTCAATGTGTGGTAGATTATTACTTTTTAGTGCTAAATTAATATTGATGAATGAAATAACAGATACATGTGTAGATGCTTTCGGATATCGGTCACTCAAGTGTTCGAATCAGTTTCAGTGGGCTGAGCTTGTGCTCTTCATAGTAATCTAAGGATCCTAGCAAATAGCGACACAGGAGATAAAAATGTGTTTCAGTACTGCATCTATGATGTACACATGTACTTGAAATGATCACCTTCCTACTACGTTACACAGAGCTTGGTGATTAGTCTGTGTAATCAATTACATTGAGTAGTTTCACATAAAATAATCAGTTAATTGAGAATTATCGACTAATTGAAAATATTGTTTCTGATTACACGGGCTTGCGATGGTTTTATTGTCTTGAAATTTTTACATGTTCTTCGGTAATTCCTGTACGATGAATCTGAAAATATCCATTTTTCTCCATCACGTACAAATTTTTCATAAAACGTCATATGTACTTTCACGTAAGGGAATCATTTACATTGAAATCGGGTCACATTTTGTTATGCTTAAAATGTTGACAATCACTGGCTATAGATTTCTCCAGACCAATTGTGACATCCTAGAATTCATGAGAAACACACTGCTAGTATATAAACGGTTAACAGGCTGCATGACTTGTCATTTCAGATGGTATTTTTTTCTTTTCAGTATTATTTATTCATCACTGTGGCAACAAAGGGTTGTGTAAATGACCCAAGCATATTCTGTTGCATTTGTGGTAAATTTTAACTAAGTAAGAGTGTGTTTTTTTTCTTTCCGATTTGTAAAATATTATTTTCGATATCTGAGTAGCTGAATTATGGAAAATCTGTTATTAAAACCAAAACAACTTTTATAAAGTTTAAATTCACATGCCCGTGATAGTACTCTTTTCGGGTTTTACAAATATCCAAGTAATTGAAATTTTGTCATTATGATTTATCATTATTATCTTTATTTATTTGAGAGTTGTTCAGCTTAATCAATTAGTGTAATGCGTCATGAAATTAATCAACCAATCAATCTTAATGATTCCAATTATTACTATCCAAGTCTCGTATGAGAATAATTGATAAGTTAAATGCAATCAGTTGACAAGCCTGACGGTTAATCTGTTCTTAAATTTCACTAATTACTTAGCTCTTGCCATGTATAGGCAAGAGGTGTTAGGAATGCTCTAACGATCCACACTTAACATAAATCGCATGACATAAGTGAGCTCAGTATTTATTTATAATATCGTTTGTATTCAAAAATTTAGTAGTATTTCACAAAATAAATAGTCTGTGAAGCTTTTGTTTGTTTGTTTGTTGTTGGTGTATATTTTGTGATTACTTAAATACATTTATTAACTGTGTTAAATTATTTTGTCGATGTACATATCTCACCATTCATATTACCAAGATATAAGTTAATACTTTTGCTAAAAATAAATGTTTTACTTAATTTTCTTCATTTCATTCCAAAGAAACTTTGCATTGACCGAAACCTAATGATAAGTATTATTATTAGACTTGTATTAATTGATTGTTAAATTGTAGTAAATAAATTATAGACTTATCGTGTGTATGATTTAAGTGTAAGTTGCCACATCAGTTTTGTGAATTATTATTATTAACGTGATAAATATAATTCAAGAAACTTGAAGTTTAACTACCTGTATATTAGCTGGGTCATTTTGAATGATTTAATAACAACCACCTAATCATGAAACTATACATACCATAACTCTGAATGTATCTTCCGAAAAGCTTTAAATAAACATGACAAGTCTGCTGTACACAAAAAATCAGATTTTTTTTTTTAAATTAAGTATTTGTAGTAAAATTTGTCTGAGAATTTACGAAGTATTAACTGAGCCAGTCTTGAGTGCAAGGTGATTTTCAAGCTAAGAATAATATTACTTCTCTTTGTTGTACAGTTTTAATATTTAATTTGTTTAACCTCTAAAATTTCCTAAATGAATGCCAATTTTTTGTTTCAGTAAAACTTTATATTTTTTATCTGTAGCGAAAACATTGAAACAAAATATTGAAAAAATGCAAAATGTAATGATGAATATCTTTTTATCTAGAATGACTTCATGTTGTAACAGACAATTACATTTATTCTAACACAGCCTAAATCTTCTAAACGTTTCACATCTGCTCACTTTTAATATTTTACAATACACTTAAAACCCCATCTAATGATGTGACAGCAAATTAACCATCGAGAAAACTTGCTCAAGTTATAATCATATGATGCCATAAGTGATGAAGCTGATCTTTTGAATTTGTGTATTTAATTTCCTTTTTAAATTTATGTTTTGTTGTGTTATCTAGGCTATTTATACTTGAGAAGTACTCCAATAAGATTAATTTTACTACAATATATTGGTTGTCTGCAAGATAATTCATGTTGCTTTGGAATAAGCATGTTTTTAACACTCGAAATATCTTGTGTATTAGAATATAATATCCAAAAGTTACTGTACTTTAACTGCCTTTCCATCTGAGCTATAAATAGGTTAAAAAATTTCCTTACTGCTTGGAGCAATGATGTTTGTCAAAACATTTCAAGATTTCCTTGTGAGTTACTGACTTTGAGTGCCAAAACAAAGTAGATAGTGTTCCAATTCACGTGCTTCAGAAACTTCTGTTGGTTATAAACATGTCCAACAGTAATGTCAAAAAAAGAGAATTATAGACATATCTTCAAGTTTTATATTACGAGTTGTCGATGTCTATAGTTTGGATATGACTGTTGGACATGTTTATAACCAACAGAAGTTTCTGAAGAAATGTCAAAAAAAGAGAATTATAGACATATCTTCAAGTTTTATATTACGAGTTGTCAATGTCTATAGTTTGGATATGTCAAAAAAGAGAATTATAGACATATCTTCAAGTTTTATATTACGAGTCTATAGTTTGGATATGTCAAAAAAGAG